GACACAAACGGGCCAACAACTAAAAAAAAGAAAAACAGAAGCGACCTGAACCATGCTTCAATAGGGTACCGCACTTGTGGATCCGTTATTTCCACCGTTCTTGCTTCACTGTTTTCTTCTTTCTTTCGCCACCATTTGTCCTCGCGTTGGCTGAAGTTCCCCTTGCTCCTTCCTTTCCCTTTGTCTTTATACATATTCGAGAACCCCTACCAAAAGTCTGCTGCTCGCTCCAGCCGTCTCTTTCTTACTTTCTCTCTGCCCTTTTTCCCACGTACCGTCTCTGCGTTCATGTGTGGGCTTCGATGCACGCACTTGCCTGCATATCCGTATGTATGTGTTTGTGATTGGCGTTGAGCCGAATACACAAGGGGAAAGAATATATATATATATGCGTCTTGAAGAGGGGATTGACGGTCCAAGTTGGGCAGAATGGACGGAAAACGCAGACAAACAAACCGGTAGTGGATGACGAATAAAAACAACAACAACCAAGGTGACTGACATAAGAATGAAAGCACAAAAAAGGGACGAAATAACCCCTCAAACAAACAAAAAAAAAAGAGATATGAAAGGAGTAGAGGAAAAAAAGCAGCTCAAAAACAATCTGCAGAGGCTTCTTGTCGCGCCTCTTTCATATACCTCTTCTTAAAAGTGTCTTTCACGTAGCACTGCTGGCTCAATCTGCTCGTCCCCCCCTTTCAACCAAGGAAGGGAGATGCCAGCAGAGGGAAACACACATAAGGATCTATGCAGACATACATACACTTGGCCGCCTCTTCTTATTTTTACCGTCCTTCTGCTCTTCATTTTATTGATTCCTTCTTTCCTATTCGGTTACACCAACACCCTTTGGGTGGCGGGAGAGAAAAACGGCAGCCAGTGAACCGCATAACGAATAAAACACCCCGCTCGCGCGGGCGAGGCGCGACAACGACGAGAGAGACGCGGATGAGTGGGTCCCACCAACGCCTCCTCAATCGTCACCTCCTCCCCTCTTGTTTCGTTTCGGCCGCGCATCTCTCTTTCGTTGCCTCCCAAAACTCATCAATTGCAAGGTGTTTTACCCTGTCATTTTTTTTTCTTCTGCCGCTGCGCAGCCGTTGCCCCACCCCGAACAACAACAACAACAAAGACGGTGCGGGCGGGGGCAGACACAAGCCAGACCAGCAGCAACAGCGAAATGAGTGAGTGAGTGAGTGAATGAGGAAGAAATAACCAAACAAGCCGGCAGGAAACATACATATACACCTTCAGCTTGCACAAAATTTCCCGATTCGCCTGCACCCAAGCAGGCGGGCCACACAGTAATCGAATTNAAAAAAAAGTTAGAAGGGCAAGAGGGGTGACTGCACGAGTTGAGCCTGAGGGAAGGAAAAAAAGAGTGTGTGGATGAGAGAGTAGCACAGCAAATAAGTGATTGAATAAAGTAACGAAAGGAAGAAGTGAAATAAATGCGGACTAGAAAAGAAGAGAAGCAAAACAAGTCAGAGCGATTTGTGGAACGAAGAAAAAGAGCGCACACATCGCTTGAAAGATGAGATAATCAGTCAGATAAAATTGGAGGAGACGAGGAAGAAAAGACAGCAAAAATAGAAAAATAAAACAAAGAAAGAAAAAGTTTGGAAGACGCGAATAGAAGCATGAGAAATAGGCAAGAATAGTATTCTGCGCTCTGCAGTATTTGTTCCCCCTCCTTTCCCTAATATATATATATATATATATATACAGCTTCTTTCGCCATATATGTATTCTTTTTCTCTCGCATGTATTCCCAGTAACTCTACGAAATTCCGTAATTTAGTAGACACGATCAATGCATGTGTGAATGGCAGAACATAGATACATTAACAAACATATATACATATATAAATATATACGGATACGTATGAGTATGTATGCGTGCCTGCTTCTTTACCGCAAAAAAAAAAATTGATATTGTTTTGTTTATTTTCATTCTGGTCTTCCTTGTTTCAGATATATATATATATATATATATATCCATTTCTCTCTCACATTGTGTGGGGCTTTCCACCCCTTCTTACTCACCTCCCNATATATATATATATATATATATCCATTTCTCTCTCACATTGTGTGGGGCTTTCCACCCCTTCTTACTCACCTCCCTATTTTGCATCTCCCGTCGTCCTTTTTTCGACATTCTAATTCCCCGTTCCTCTGTCTCAACCAATTGCGCGCCCGCACCCTTTCGTGCCTCAATTCCCCACGGCATCCCCCCACAGCCCCGTACGGCGTGTGCTTAAATGGGTTGATTGGTCGCCCTGAGGTTCGGTAGAGGGGTGAAAGCGATTCAAAACAACATCAACGACACGAAACCAAAGTAGAAAACAAAACGCCGGAGAATAAAGAAGCGACTGGGTGTACAACGGTGGGAAGACAGACCGTAAAATAATAGCAGAGGATTTCCACCATTTTGCTCGCACTTTTCAAACATTTTCTGTTTCCCAGCTCTATGCTCCTTGCTTTATCACATATTTAAGCACATACAGTAAATGTGCACTGGCGTACGAAGCGGCACGTATACCCAAACACAGCATATTTTTTTTCTTATAATTTTCATTTCTCATCTTCTCTCCTTTTCCTCGTCATTTTCTTGTTTTTTTGTTTTATGCTGCCTCTCTCTCTCTCTCACTCACTCGCTTTGTCTCACTACCACTATTTCTTCCCTCGGGCGTCTTACCCGTTCGTGCAGGGGCGGGGGCGCCCCACTCCCGCTCCCCACCACTCGCTGCGTATATACATGCACATGTTAGGACTTCGGTTGCTGACGGGGGATTTTGTTTTTCTTCAGCGGTGATCGCGGGCGCCACACCGCAGCTCCCTCGTCCCCCCACACTTGCAGAGACACACACATACATGCGGATTTAAAGACATACAGTGCGAAAGACACACATACAGGAACAATGAAACACAGCGTTTTTTGTTCCTCTTTCTTCTCATTCATTTCTGTTTTTCTCCATCCCATCTTTCTGTATATATATATATATATATATATATATCAATATGAAACCTCATCGCCATACCTTTCTGTAGGCTGAAGGGTTATTTGCATATTTGTCCTTCTGCGTCGTTCCTTTCATGGTTAGAAGTTAACGATTTATTCATATGTTCCTTCCCGCTTCTTTGAGGCGATCCATTTTTGGGAACTCCGCAAGGCGAATACACCCAAAACGACAGTATATACACACACACACACACACACACAAAGAAATCACAAGGAAACTAAGAAGAAATATACACACACCACACCGCACTACACACCACAATCAAATCACGCCTGCTTCTTTTTTAATTTGATTGTGAGATTCCCCCATTTCTGTCTTGAGAGCCTTTCTGGAGTATGCCGTGAAAATCTGATGACGGCACTGGGGTGCTGCTTCTCCAAAGAGAAATATTGGAGGGTACGATGCCTGAGCTCGTCTCCCCCCTCCCATTTACACCTCTGCTTATTATTCTCTCTGGGGGTTTCTTCACTTACCTCTTCTTTCCGTTCCTGGGACATTGCAGGACGCAGTCATATGTGTGTGTGTGCGCGTCTGCGTGTTGACTTCTTCTTTTTTTCTTTTCTCTGTGGATGGTGAGGGGATAGGCATGTACGCGTGGCGCTCCACTGTAGAGATGCGGCCAATAGTGGAAAACCAACAAATCAACAAACAAAACAAAACACCATCATCAGTGCAAGTATGAATAATAATCTCACGAACCTTTTCTCTTTCTCCATTTTTTTCCCCCCTTTTCATAGCTATAGTTCCTCGCACGGCCCGACTTCCACATAACACACACGTAGACACCAGGCGTTGAATATCTTCTCGCAGTTCGCCTGCCATTTTGCGTACACGATTCACTTATGGAGGGTGGCTGATTAGATTCTTCGCGCCTCATCGTTGCGAAACAAAATAAAATAAACCGCTCTTATCGCCACCTCCCCCTGTTTCTGACGCTCTAGTGAGTATGGTGAGAGTGGTGGTGATGATGGTGAGGAGGGTAAGATTTTTTTTTAAAAATTTCTTTTTTGTTCCTTTTTTTTTCTTCTTACTGCCTCGCGTTTGTTTGTGTATCCCTCGTGGATAGCGGAAGAGGGGGAAGCAGAGGGGGGGCCTCGCGAGCAGACATGGAAGCAGAAAGTACAGGTGAAGAAAACAGAAACAAGAGCAACCAAAACGCAAACAAGGAGGAGACACACGCAAAAATAGCATCACAAAATCAAAATAACAAAAAAATGAGCGTGTATATATCTCTACTCGTGTGTGTCTGTGTTTTTTTCTTGGTTTTGCGTGTCTCCTCCCCCTCCCNTTCCCCCCGGCGTGTGTGGCTCTGCGTATTAGCGGGGCGAGAGGTGGGAGGGTGGCGGGGCAAGGAGGAAGGTGCTCGAAGTAGGGAGGAGAGGAAATATCATAGTTGCCTTATTTCATTTCTTTTTTCTTTTGTTATTAGTGTTGTTTTTCTCCGGGTAATGTTGATGATGACATCTCTTGATTCGCCTGTTATGCGTTTCATTCACCTTTTTAAATAAAAATGCATCTGAAGTGGGCGGGGGCACGTGGAGCGATGGATATGAGGGGATATGAATGGGCGCGGGCTCTTAAGCGCTTCCGAGAACTAAATTTCTTATGGTACTTCAAACTGTTCATCATTCCTTTTTTGGCCCTTTTGTCGTACCTCATTCCAGATGTATATTCATTATATTCAGGTCCGCGCTTTGTGCTTTGTCGTCGCCTTCCTGTCTTTCCCCTCCCCCCCGCGCCCGTTGTTTCTCTCTCGCTCACTCTCTCGCACCCCCCATGGTGGTTTTTGTGCCAACGCGACGGTACAGCCTCCGTCGCTCACTGCTTGTCAGCGGACCAATTTCACCACCCTCACTTATGGTCTACCAGAAAACTACGTCGTCTTTTCTTTCCTCCATTTGCTTTTTTTTTCCGTTTCACCATTGCGTAATCCACCATTTTCTGTTCCTATTCCTTTCCTTGACGCCTTGGGGATTACTTGCTGGGCTGTGGGTGTGCGGCGGCCATCGCCATAGTACCATTGGGCAAATAGTACATGACGGCCGGCTGCGGCGCCATCATTGCGGGGTGGCCCGGGGCGTACATCACCATCGGCGGCGGTGGTGGCGATGAAGCCGACGATGCATTGTTGTTATTGCTGCAGACATTCTCCGCTGACTTGTTGGTCGTCCGCATTGCCCCGCCAAAAGGTGCGGCGACTGGCGGCGCAAAGATGGCGGAATTAGAGTCGGAGCCGACAAAGAAGAACGGCGCACTGCCGCTGCCGGCGGCTGGCGGCATTGGGAAAAACGGGGCTGTGTAGAACGCCGGTGCCGACGCACTCGTGCCAAAAGGATCAGTGAGGATAGGCTGCGATAACGACGGCGCGAACGGGTACGACGGTGCACTAGCCGACGCGAACTGCTCCATCCCCTTCTGTGATACCGCAGCGAGCGGGAAGCCTGGTGGGGGACCCTGCAGTGAGCTGCAGGCGCTGGCGCTGCTGATGCTGTTCTTAAGACTGCCATTGGCGTGGCGGCAGGCGCCGCGGCGGGCGAGGCGCTCGATACGGTGCGCGGAGTCTTCGGCGACCTTGGCGAGGAGCGGGATGCCGTCACAGTCGGGGAACGGTGTCGTTGTGTGTGTCTCCTGCGCCGCCTTCGCTGCCGCCTCCTTGGTGGTGTAAGTGATAAAAGCCACATTTCGCCGCTTGTTCAACACCCGCTGCGCCGTGTCGCTGTGAATGGAGACGTCCACCACGTCGCCGTACCTCCCGAAGTGCTGAGCGAGGTCCGACTTCTTCACACCGAGCGGAACGTTTCGCACGAATGTCTTGTTGGTGGGCGCGCCAGGGCGGTAAGCGGCGTGCGGCTTTGCCACGCGAACGGCGAGTGTTTCACCAAGATGAAGTGAGTTGTTCAGAGCCTCCAGAGCCTTTTCGGCACTGGCGACGTCGGCAAACTTAACAAAGGCAATGCCACGACTCTTCCCTGTGTGGATGTCGAGCATGACTTTAGCAGACTCTATTGTACCGTAAGGGCTGAAAAGTCCGTGCAGTTCACTATCCGTCACACTGGGATGAAGGCCGGAGATAAACAGGTTACTACGCACTTCATCATCCAATGGCTGCTTTGTTTGCGGGCACATGCCGGAGTTTTCTGTGGTGGATTCTTCTGGTAGCCCGCCAACCTGCGGTTGATGTTGGCTTTGCTGCAAATTGCTGTCTGCTGCAGGCCCCACCGAGGAGGAAGCGGCAGGTGACAGGTCTCCATTAGTGCTGCCATTGCCTTCATGGCGCTGCCAGTTTGTATACGAAAAGAGGGCATCAGAGTTCGTGCCCCCGTATCCGAAGGGGAGGGTATAGTCTTGCGGCCTTTGCAAGGCGGAAGGCACGTCATCAGCCACTCTTCTCCGTCGCCCTGGAGTTGGGGTGCCGAGGATATTGATCTCTGTGGATGCAGGGTCGGACAACGACATCGCAGCCATCATCGCAGGGGACGCATCGTCGTCGTTGCCATCAGTGGCGATGACGAAGTTCATGCAGTCCTCCATGTACAACCCACCGTCACAGGAGGCGTCGTTCTCGTCGAACACGGAGTCGTCATGCACGCGTCGGAATGGCTTGTCGTAGTCGCGGGCGTCACCACTCGTCGAGACAGAATCCACGTTGGTCATGCAGCCACTGCTGCTCTGCGTGTTTTTGCTCTTGACACTGGAGGTCACGATGGGCTGCTCCTCGGAAGCGTCCGAATTGTGTTCTGCAAGGAGCATTGTGATCTTGGCTTGATTCAGTGGTTCCGCTACCTTTCCTTCTTGCGTGTTTGTTGTTTTTGGTTGAGTTTTTATTTCGCTTTTACTTTCCTTTTCCGTTTTTACTCCTGTTCTCGCTTGTCCCCCCCCCACACACACACAGACACACACCGTGTCGCGGAAGGGAGCGGGAGGCACACGGAGGAGAGGAGACGCGTCGCGCGAAGAGAGAAGCAGAAGCAATAACACCACCAATAATACGAGTGGATTGTCACAACACAGTGATGGTACTACTACTACTACTACTACTAATCGTAGCAGTAGCAGTAGTGACACCAACAGTAGAAACACGCTCGTGTGTGTCGTTTTCGCTTTTGTTTGTTCCTGAGCGAGAGAAGCAGAGAGACACCGGTTCCATGAAATATTCCCCATTCCTCCTCCTGTTGTTGTTGCTGTTGCGCGGCGGGGCACAGCCGTTCCCCCCCTCTGAGTGCGTCTGAAGACGCGTTACATCGTGCCGCCATTCCACCGGCGAGCCGCGCGCATCCAGGAGAAGCAAACACAGAAAGAAGCAAGAGGCAAAAAATAAAATAAAACAACAACAACAGTATCATCATCAGGAACATTTAACGGCAGCGTGCTGCTGCCTGCGCCCACACTCACCATCACTCACTCATTCTCGCTCTCTCTTTCTCTCTCTCGCTGCCTGTCTGTCTCACACCCGCTTGAGTGGCACACGCGGGCGCGTACATACACACAGACGGCAAACATCTGTTAAGCACGCTGTACATGATTTCAAACACCCACACACATACGTATATATATATATATATATCTTCCATGGGGGCCTCCGCTTACATCTCTTCGAATGCCGACGACGCCAATTCGACGGCGGGCGCCTTGGGCGGGTCCGGATCCGGCATCGTCATCGCACGTATCTGTTGCACCGTCAACGCCTTGTCCACGCGTGTCTCCACGTAGTACTCATTGAGGCAGTTCACCATCTCCTGCAGCGTGATGGTGGAGACGTCGATGGGGATGCTGTACTGCATGAACTTGTCGGCGAGGAGGCGCGGGCGCAGCGTCTCAAGCTCAGTGCGGAACTCCCCTGCGAGGAAAGTGGCGATGGGGATCGTCGCCTTCTCCATCGCGTTGTCGCGCTGCGTGCGCGGCGAGATGACGAGCGTCGACTGCCGCTTCTTGGGCAGCTTCGCGTGCTGCTTGTTGAAGAACTTCGTGACGAGGCTCACCATCGCCGGCGGCAGCGCCCACCAGCGCACGCGCGTCTCCTCGTCGTTGTAATCTGTCTCGTCGGCGCCCGACGCGACGCTGCCGCCGCCGGATGAGCGGAAGCTGTCGAGGAACGAAAGCTTCGAGATGCTGATGAGGCGCGAGCCGGCACGCATCATGGCGGGGATGTAGTCCTCCTCGTGCTCCTGCAGGAAGAGGAAGCGGTTGGGCAGCGGCGGCGGCTGCGACACGGTGCGGTACGCGCGCCGCAGGCACGGCAGCGTGAGCTGCACGACACGCGGCTCCTGCTGTCCATCTTCCTGCTGCTGCTGCCCATCCGCCTGCTCCGCGTCCTCGGGGAGGCTGCGGGCGTCGGCATCGATCTGCAGCTTCATTGCGGTTTCCACAATATCGCGTGCCTCGGCGAGGCTGAGCGTCTGGCCGCGGATGCGCAGGCGGTGCAGGTCTGCAGGCGGCAAAACCGGCAGCGGCGCGATTTCAGAGGCCGCCTCGTCGTTGCTGTTTTTATTTTCCCCCTCCGGCTTTGCCTCTCCGGTGTTTTCGTCGCCCTTCATCATCTCAAGCAGGCGCTTCCAGTTGATGATGATGTTGTTGTATTCGTTGTCCACCTCCTTGGCGCGCCTCGCGATCTCTACCTCCGACTTGTAGTTGAAGTACACGAGCTCGAGGAAGGTGTTGACGGAGATGGTGTTATCGGAGCGCTTGCGCGGNCGCTTCTGCGCTATGCGCTCGATAAGCTGCTCCTGCAGCACTGGGTAGGGCGCGTTGAGCACGAGGCTGCGGAGCGGCACCCATCCCGAGCCGTCGCCGTCGAGGTAGTTGAAGATATTCTTCATGCGGAAGTAGTCGTCGCAGAAGTAATGCGCCACCTCGCTGTGGTTGCGGTCGCACAGGTCGTTGATGATGTTCGCCACGTTGGTGCCGATGTGGGTGCCCTCGACGGAGAAGCGCACGACGTTCTTGTTGGCGCGCAGCAGCTTGATGATGGGGTCAGCGCTGTACACCGTCACGAGCGGGTTGTCGCTCACATCGACGCTGCGGATCGACTGGTGGTCTTGCAGCGTCTCCGCCAACTCTGCGACGAACTCGTCCGTGATCTGGCAGCCGCAGAGACTGACGCGGCGCAGCGAGCGGCTGCACAGCAGCAGCGGCACCAACGCCATGCAGCCCTTCGGCCCCAGCACGAACTTGTTGCAGTCGAATACGCGGTGCTTCTCCCAGTCGCGCGGCGCGTCGCTGAGCAGCGCGGCGACGCTCTTCTGGCGGCGGATGCCCAGCTCGTCGCAGATCTGCGCGTACGCTGCGCGCGGCGACTTACGGTCAAACCGCGCGAGCGTCGCGTCCACCTTTTGCATCGTCGTCATCCTGCCGTGTGTTGCACCGTTGATGGGGTTGCTTGATCTTGCTCTTTTACCGCTTCACCTCTGCGAGGTGTGTGATAGAATAGAGAGAGAGAGAGAGCAGAACATAGCTTTAGCAGCCGGAGGCGAGGTGGAGGGCGCGGGGACACCCCACAAGAGAGCCCGCGCCCTGCCACACAGCGGGGGTCCCTTGGCCGCCACCCACACTTCTCTTCCGCCGCCGCCAACCACAGCAGCAGCGCGAACAAGACGGCGCTCTCACCCCCCCCTTCAGCCCCAACAAAAAGCCACCGTGGGGGGTTACTGCCGGTTCATGAAGAGCGTCATCATGGCCTCAACGGCATCGTCCTTCTCGGGTGCGTCGCCCATCACCAGCACCAGCCACCGCCTCACCGTCGACGGCCGCAGCACGGCACCTGCTCGTTGCTGCTGCCGCCCACGCGCAGGGGGGCGCAGGACGTACTCGAGCAGATACTGCAGAAGCCGTGCACCAACGAAGGCACCGGTAGTGGATTGCTCCTGCAGCATCCAGCACTCGACCNCATCATCATTATTTCCAGCCTCAGCTCCCTCCTCGTCAATGTAAGTGAGCGCTGTGGCGGCCGCGCGTCGCTCGTTCTGTTCGTCGCGCAGGATCGCCGCGCCAATTGTGTACGCGATGCAGAAGAATAGTTGCTCCATTGGCGGCAGCACAAGCGTGGCCACAGGCGCCGCGAACAGTGGCAGCGTCAGCGCCACCACGCCGTCGAATACAATGCTGTCTTCGCCCGCGGCAAGCGACTCCACGGCGTAGCGGCACGCGGTGGCGCGTGCGGCGACTTCAATTGACACGCGCAGCCGCGCCTCTTCCATCGCCGCCTCCTCCGCCTCGTCGCACTCACTGTTGTCATCTGCCTCATCGCTGGGGGAGCTGAGGTGCGCGGCGACGACGTGCAGGGCTGTCTGCATCACCTCCGTAACGCCAGCACCGCCCCGCTCCACCTCACCACCACCGTCGTCGTCGTCGTTGTTATTATTATTATTGTTGTGCCTTGTGTTGCCGCCACTGCTGGTGGTGGTGGCGGTGCTGCTGCTCTTAGCCGCCGCGGCCACCACGGACAGCTGGGCATGACGGCAGTAGTGCGACATGGTGCAGAAACACGGCAGCGAGACCCATGGCAAGGATGGTGTCGCCGCGTCCTCCTCGCATTCGCGCGTGTCGGACGGAGACAGCAGCTGCTCCAGCGCCACCTCCACTTCCACCTCCGCCCGCTGCTGCTGCTGTGGTGAT